TCCATGTGAACAACATAAATTAAAAAGTGATGCTAAGCATGTATGTTTCATACAGTCATATGTCCTCTTTGTTCCATTGTACAAAATACTCTAACTTTATATATAATGAGATATCATGATTACACAGAGAAATAAATACTTGAATAATAATACATGATAACATTTTTTATGAGCATATCTTATGGTGCCTACTGAGCCATAATAAGATTTGAAATTGAATTGATCATGTAATACACTCAATAATTTAATGGTAAAGCAAGTTTCAAAATTCGACAAGGAACCAAGTTTGTTGAGGGCAAGTAAGTTGTGAATAGGTCCTATAAGTATGGTTGAGCAAAACTCATGGTCCTATCAATAGGCGATTTTGCATTGAATTAACCCTTAACAAATATCTTTAAATAAGGCACAAGCTATCCATTGGGCAAATTCATTATAATTTGATTTGCTAATCTCTATGCTGTTCAAAAAGTAAGTGAATTATTACGAACATGGGATAAACTAATTACTGTCGATGCCCCCTCCTTGGTCCATGTTGAACTAGCAATCATTCAGCATCAATTAGGTTTGTTGTGTGATTTTGATCTGAATTGTCCCAAAGACTCCCCCAAGTGGGTTGGAGTATTGTTGAGAAAATTAAGGCGAAGAAAAATAATAACGACACAAATCCAGAAGAACACAGAGATTTAACGAGGTTTGACAAAGATGTCTACGTCCTCGGGAGCAGAGCGGCAAGTTCTTTTCAATATTCAAAAAAGATGATACAGAATAGAGAATACCTCATGAGGTTACTAACAAGCCTATTTAATACCACAGGAGTAAACCTAGACACAATACATAATTACAACATTACCCATGTACCATACCACAGGGCACGTAACTTCCCAATTTAGACAGATTCTTCCGCTCCGCTCCGCTCCTCTTCGATCCAGCGTTTGTCCCGATATGGTATATGAGCCATACCATAACAAATCTTCACCTTGGCGAATATCTAGCCCCTTAGGAGAAGAATACCTGGGAGTTACAGCTGCTCCACTGTGGGTTGGGCCGCCATACTTCTCTAGCAACTGCAAACATTCAACAAGTCCAAGCAATGCAAGAACTTGTTGATAGTAACTGGCTTGGTCAACATATCAGCTACATGCTCATCAGTATGAACCTTCTGCAACAATATCTCCCCAGAAGCAATCAACTCTCTGATCTTGTGATACCTTACATCAATGTGCTTGGTTCTCGCATGGTACACCTGGTTCTTAGCCAGATAAATAGCACTCTGATTGTCACAATGCAATTGAACTCCACCTTGCTCAATGCCCAGTTCCTTTACTAGCCCAACAAGCCATAAGGCTTCTT